CTTTGCATCTCACATCCCAAACTTCTGTTCCATCACTGGGCAGCTGAAGCGGAGCATTCAACTAAAATCCAGCAAGTGGACAGAGAGTAGATTTGTGCCCAGGGACAGAGAGAAAGCACATCTATCAGCTCAAAAACTTTAGGAACATTGATAAGCATTAAAATTAAAATACTTGATTGGTATAAGTAAGTACTCAACCGGATGATATTAATAAGACAACTCCTACTAGAAAAAAATAGTCTAAATCATTTTTATAATCTTCCACCAGACTCAGTTTCATTTTTAGTCTCTCCATCTCATGCTCTATTTATTTTTCATTTTTCACAATCACTTCATAGGGTAAGCTCATTAAGTGTTGGTCAACTACAATACTAAGATGTGATTTATAGATTTCATATGAATTATTTTCTACATATATCTCTTTTCTTCTGTAATATGAATTTAATAGCATAAACCCCAATGTAGGACTCAACTTTGATTCCTGCTAAATTTTATCTTGTTAGTTTTGGTCCATTATTTAAGCCTATTGAAATAATTTTTCATCTTGATTCTCTCATCCATTATATTACCTATCATTCTCATTATTGTATAAATGAGTATATAAGTAGTATCCTTTATCTTTGAGGTCCAAATGGACCAATAACAAATAGAAAATGTTCCTTAAAAAGTGATTTTATTCAGTCTATTGACTTTTGAGTGCAATCCATTTGCCTTTTTGGGGTTTAATGAATGTACAGGTTATGAACTGAAGCTTCCCCTAAAAGCTAATAACATAGCTTTTGGGACAAAGCATCATTAACCGTGATTTGTAGAATGATCATCAATCAAACTATTCTCCTTATTTATTTGAATTTTCTAATGCAGTTAACTTTTTATTATTTTTCTTTATGTGCTTATATTCTTCTATGAGATACTCTCTGAAATGTTTAATAGTTCAATTCAAAGGAATAGTGCAAAGAAAGGGAGAAGAGAACTAAATGTATGATTCCATTATATGAATCAAGCACTTTGACTGACATATGTGACATCATTCCTCACCACAATTCAGTGTGTGATGTCTTGATGTCTTACTCTCATACATTTTATTGACAACGGAACTGAGACTCTAAAAAAAAAAAAAAAAAAAATTGTGTGTCTTGGCCAAAATCACAAAGTTGGTAAGTGAGGAATCTATAGCATAAAACCAGTTTGATCTGCTTCCAGAGTTTTCCTTGCTTGCTTTTCACAGATGGTGTATTCATCCCACTTAAAAAGTACCCTTTGATGATTTGTGTTAAATCACTTTGTGCAAAGAGCACCAGGAATGCAACTATGAGAAACAGCAGAAGTAAGGAAAGTAAGGATAAGACAATTGTAAGAACCTCCAAAGTACAAGATGAATGGGATTTGCAACAACAGAGGCATAAACCATGCTGGAAGGGGTGGCGGGGGATGGGGAAGCTACTTTTTATCAGGACTTGCATTCCTAATTGCCTGGATTATTCTAGCTTCTCCCCACCTCCTCTACACTACTGTGGACCACTGCATGGCACAAGAAAAGGCATGTTTTGGAATCGGGCACACCTGGATCTGAAACCAATATCATCCTCTTACCAGTGGCCACTAGTAAGAGTTGGACAAATTACTTTACCTTTTCTTAGCTTCAGTTTCCTTTTTAACAGAAAAGTCCCATTAACACCTAAACAGAAGATTGTAATTACAAATGAAATTACATCAAACATGTCATGTTGACCCATAGCAGGTGTTCTGAAAATGATTTTTCCATTTTCTTTCTGCCTCTCAAAGTAATTTTTTGTTGAACACTATTTTATGTATGTGTTACGCCTCTTTTTTTGTGTCATATGTCTGCTGTGATTTGAATGTTTTTGTTCCTTCTGAAACTCATGTTGAAACTTAATCCCCACTACAACAGTGTTGGAAGATGGGGCCTAATGGGAGGGTCTTTAGGTCATGAGGGCTCCATCATCACTAATGCCACTATGAAAAGGACCTGAAGAAGTGGGTTCCCTCTGTCTTTTGTTCTGCCAAGTGAGAAACAGCCTTCCTCTACTTTATGTGATGCAGTATGCAAAGCACCATCTCGGGATCGGGGACTGGGCCCTCACCAGACACCAATCTTACTAGTGCCTTGATCTTGGACTTCCCAACCTCCAGAGCTGTAAGAAATAAATTTCTGTTCCTTATAAATTATCCAGTCTATGGAACTCTGTTATAGCAATACAAACAAACTAATACAGTGTCATTCTTCTGTTGACAATAATTCATTACTCCCTCTGCCTTCCCCTTCATATCCACTTTTCAATGCCTGGTTGGTAAAATACTCTCATAATCCAGTCTTTCCTACCCATGGATCGTGCCATCTCAATTCTGTATTCATCAGACCAGTTTCACTAACTCATAAATACACATCATTCTCATCCCAGTCTCAGAGATTTTGACCATTTTTTCCTTCCCTTTTTCCTGGGCTCAGTCATCCCATAAATCTCATGTATCATTTAAGAATTCAGCTCTGATCCCACCATAGTTAGAGTTAACTACCCAAGCTTTTACTTATTCTTCCTCCTGTGAGGGCTTACAGTGAGTAATGTTTGTAGAAAAGAATTGAGCACTTCATTTTCAATCCTTCTCCCCTACCCCTGCCTTATTCCTCCCAGACCCATACACCTAGGCCTTACAAGTTCATTCTATCCCAATTTTCAGACCAATCTAGAGTTGAGGTCCAGATGTTGTCACGTCTCACACAGGCTCAAACCGTCGTATTCCTCAGGCAACTTGTCCCAGCATAAGTCCTCATGAGACCAAAGCCCCCAGACCCAGACAACCTCCAAGTTTCTACACTGCTCTCTGAGTCTGTTCAATGGCATCCCTAAAGGTTCACCTACGGTGTCAATGTATTAATATTTCCAATTTATCTGTTCCCTTTGTTCCTTACTGTTGGCTCAATGAAGTAAACTGGATGTCTGTCTTGTCCTTCAGATAATCTCAGCATTCAAAACCTGGTGACAGCCAATTTGCCTCAAGCATATACTCCTTCTTGATTACTTTGCTAATTTTTGCCAGTTATTTATGCCTCTCCAAACGAAATATAACAACAATAGTCATCATCATAAATAGGCTCTGCTGAGTACTCACCCTTTTGTAGGCACTGTTTCAAGCACTTTACATGGCTTAGCCACATGTTTTAATCATCATAGCAATCCTATGATGCTTACTAAAATGGAAATTGAAGCTCCAAAGGTAAGTAACGCTTCCCAGCTCACATCACTAGTAAATGAATGATCCAGGATACAATGCAAAGCAAGTCAAACTGTCTCTAGAGCCTGCCCTCTAGGTACTACTCCACAATTGAAATGTGTGTCACTTCACACCCATCAAAAGAATCCCTGAAATGTGACCAACCTGACAGATTCAAGACATGATTAAAGTCTAGCTTACCCCTCTGTGCTTCATTTAGCCCAATTGGAAGTCCCTGGTGCCAAACTTGAACTTCATCCATCAGTTCTAACACTCAAGTTGCCCTACTATGGTGTTAGTCCCCTGTGCCTGGCAAGCCCAGTTGGACAGGTCTGCAGCAGAGCCTGGCTATAAAGAGACAAGGCCTTAATTTGAATGTAAATTTCCTGAAATCAACTAGTGTGCAATCTAATTGTAGTGCCACCCTATGTCATACAGAATCATACTTTCTGCATATGCTATATGATCATATACTCTGCGTTTCTGTATTAACCGTTAGAGATATAGGGTAGCCCTCTAATTAGATTGCACACTAGTTGACTTCAGGAAACTTACACTGAGTCAGTACATTAGAAAACACTGAATATGTGGTATGTTACTGCTTTGCGATTGTTTTTCAAGTGTATAAAGGAATGATTATAAATAGCCATGATAGCCATGTATGTTCCAATTCATTATCTCTACATAAAAAGCTAAAGTAGCATCTTATACTGCATCTGTTCTTCAAAATGTCCATGTTACAAACACAGATAACAAAGACTTTTGTCTCATACTGGCAACCACCACCAGCATATACACCTGTACATAACATAAATTTCTTAGGAACTAAATCTAAAGTTTTTAATTTTAGGAGAGTTGGAGGAAAATATTTCTGAACTGAAAGAAACACAGTAAGCAAGAAAAAAGAAAATGGAAGATATGACAGAGAGGTTTAGTATATGACCTCCCCAAGAGAATCTTGCATTTAACTAGATAAATTGACAATACCTCTATTGGCTGTATTCTGGGCAAGTGAATCTCAGGGGTCTCCGGTATAAATTGGGGATAATAATTTAGATGTACTTCAATGTGTTATGGGAAAAATAGAAAAGACAGTTACATAAAAATACTACCTTAAATTGCTGTAAAAATACTTTTATTGAACTTTTGCTCAATTTTATTTGGACTTAAGACAACTCTACTAAAATTATCACCTTTTACCCTACAAATTTAAATAATTCTAGACATAAAACCTATATCTAGACATCAAAAGTTAAATTACCCAGTATGTAAATGTTGGTTTTTGTTGTTGTTAAGTATTTTCAAGTTTGAGTTGTTGGGAAGAAATGCCTGGTGAATTACTGTTTTTGTTTTACATGTATAGTCAACCGTGGTCTTAAATCTCCCAGCTCAGATCTTTGCCTCTGGCTCTCAGCAGTTCTTACACACAGTCCTCCCTGTAAGGGGAGAGTCACCTGAGAAAAGTATACTCGGTCACATCTCTATCTCCAGGCTAAAGCTGACAACAGCCTCTCATCAAATTTCTCCATTTCACTGCACAGAAATTCAGTGTGTTAGACAACACATTCAAAAATTCGAGGAAAAACAGCATCTGAATGCCTTTAATTTAAAACAGCCATATTAACTTTTGCTGGTCTGTTTACCTATGTGGTAGGAGGACCAGGCTGAATACTTGAAAACAGCACACTCTGATGACTAAAACAACTTACTGGCTTGTTTTGTTTTGTTTTCTATTTGATACAGGGCTAGGATTCCATCTTGAGTCTGAAATAACCGAGATGGGTTATTATGTAAGCATAAAAACACATTGTCATCATTTGCTTCAAAAGTTTGTTTGAAATGTTTTAAATTCTAGAAAATCAGGGAAGTGTCAGCAAAATCTATATTTGGTATGGCATCGGAAAAATCACAAGATTAGAGTCTTCTGTTGAAACGAGGACTGAAAACATGGCTGTTGAGAGAAGTATGTGCTGTCGTAAGAGCCTGCAGTGAAGGAGCTGGCCTTGATGAAGCAGCAGAAACGTGAAATGCCAAAACAGGTCTGTGCTTTCACAAAGCTAGTTGGAATTACAGGGGATCATAGGCAGGCAAGGAATTGTAATCTTGTTTGGTGTTTGAGAGTATTAAGTAAAATGAACAGCCCTGATTTTATTTTCAGGACTGTTCTCTAGGAAAGAGGGAGTAGCAAATTTCTTTTAAAATACAAGTTATTTGTTTGATTCATAGATCTTTTATTTGAGACTGCTGCTTAAGAAAGACCTGCGACAATTGCCATTTGGGAAGACATATTCATCATCTCCAGGCTGTTTGGCTTTGCTACCCTTGGGGAAAAAATTGGACATAATTTCACAGAATCTCAGTTCTACTATCTTTATTAGCAAAGCTAAAAAGATAAGGACTGATAACTTTTTTCTTGCTACAGATTATTTTATATATGGTTAAGACATGCTGCCAAAAAGATGTAAGGCAACATAAAATTGTGACGTAGAATTTGCAATACTGGTGGCAAAAGCATGGATGAGTATCAGGTGTAGGTTTATGAACCAATTTCTCGTCTGTTTTCCAGCCTCAAAAGCTTTTTTGCCTCTGGCTCATTCCAGAAAAAGAGAACTGCCACCAATGTACTCACAGAAGGCTGCTGAGCATTGCAGGATACAGTGGAGAGATCTGAAGTCACGTGTCTTAGAAAGGGACTCTCCTTCAAATATAACTGGGAGGAGTGATATCATCAACAAGGACCATTCTGAGATGTATTTGGCTCTAGTTTGGCTACATGGAGATAAATATTAATCAGAATCTTTTGTTTATATTTTCCTATCAAGATAAAAAGAGGCATAAATTCAGCTCTGAGGAAATGTTTCAGAGATAGTGAGAGGTGATTTGTTTTAGAGTGTAAGCAAACGCCAGCTCTGTTGACAAAGCCAGTTCATTAAAACACACTAGCCTGTCCTCAACCTCTCTGCTAGCTAGAAGGGACCATGACAAGACTAAGACAGAAGCTCACATTACTAAAAACTTACAAATAAGGAACAGCTAACAATTGTCAAAACAACGCGATCCCATCACGATGTCCTAAGCTGTATGACACCATGAAGGGACATACAAGGCAGCCTTTATAACAGTCATCATGCATTTGGATTCAAAGTTACTTCTAAAAAGCACCAAAACTTTCAGCTTAACCTGATGTGAGTGAAAATGAAACAAAACAAAGTAAAACAAAAGTATCCAGGGATTGTATGTATAGACTTCCATGGCTTTTATTTATAATACAAGTGAAGTGGGGCCCTAACTCTCATTATGGGAACAAATCAGAATGTGAAGAAAAGTCCAGTTAAGTAAGAACGAAAATGAGAGTCACCACCCTAAATCAATCCACAGAATTTCCTCCTGAGGACTCTTCCTTCAAAAGTGATACAATTAGTGAATACAAAAAGGCTTTTTGGCTTCTTGAAACAAAAGAAGAGACACACAAGCAATGCAGTTTTTCTGAATTCCCTGGCTAAGAGTTACAACTTTGGAAGGACAACTACTTGTATTCAAATCTGGGCTTATTTGCTATGTGACAATAGGCATATTGCCTAACTTCTCTGTGCCTAATTTCTCCACTTGAAAGGGAGTAATAAAAGGATTTACCTCAAAGATTGGCTGTAAGTATTAAGTGAAACACTATATATAAAGTGATTAGAATGCTTCCCAACATATGGCTGATACTTCATTCTTCCATTTAGCACATATTTATTGAACTGATCCATGCAGATAGCATCTCAGATGCTTGGGTTACAGCGGTGAACAGGGAAATGTCTCTACCCTCAGAAAATTTACATTCTAGTGGAATTTAGCTATTGTGATTAATCTACTATCTAAGTATCTACAAAAACTATTTTAAATGATTTCAACTTGTACCGATAGCCTAATGCATTATAAGCATAAGGCAGAGTCTAGCACTCATCTTACTGAGTCTGTAACTGAGGCTTAAAGAGAAATGAGAAAACATTTTAAAATAAGCAAAAACATTTGTATAGGTGTCCTAAAAGCCGGGCTGCTTTAAGTTTTGGGATGCAAGGTCCCTTTAAGAGTTTATTAAAAGCTGCAGATCTGTTTCTAATAAAGTTAAAATACCTATCTGATGACCCAGCAATTCTTCTCCTAGTTACTTACTCCCCCAAAATTAAAAGATAATGTCCACAAAAAGACATGGACAAGAGTGTTCATAGCAACTTTATTTATAATATGCAAAAGCAAGTCAGAGGTCCATGAATAGATAAAATGATAGTCAAATTGTGTGATATTCATATGGGAGAACACCGCTCAACGTTAAAGAGAAGTTAACTATTGACTGAAGCAATAATATGATGAATTTCAAAAAATCAGAAGCTAGACACTAATGAGTATTATATACTGTAAGATTCCACTAAGATGAGGTTCAAGAATAGGCAAAAGTAATTTATAGTGACAAGTATCAGTAAGCAGCTGCACTGGGTGGTGGATGGGAAATTGATTGGAAAAGGCCCCAAGACAACTTTGGGTGATAGAAATCTTTTCTGTATTGTTTTAAGTTGTAGCTACATAAATGTATACAACTGACACAACTCTTAGAAATCACCTTTAAAGGTCTATGCATTTTGTTATATATTATACCTCATTAAAAAAAGAAGTCATAAAAAATAGTAGCAACTTTCCCCAGATAAATACTCACGCATTGCACATAAAATTTTAGGTGGTAAATGGACCCTAGGGTAAAATTTCCTGATATAGGAACTAGTGACTGAGTTGGCTAAAAATGTCACCGTTAAAATATGTATATAGATAATTCAAGAAGAAACTTCTAGAGAAGAAGGTTGGTGCAATTCACTGACATTTTCTATATACCAATGCTATTTTGAAATGCCTTGCCCATAGAAGGTTGTGCTTGATCAAGACATATTTACTGTGAAGTATTTTACCATTAATTTTGAAAGGTATGTGTTTAGAGTAATTTAATATTTCCTTGAAAGTCACGTAGAATAAAAAGGAAGATTGTTAAGTGCGTTAACTATGAAGGCATCAATTCATATCTCTGCTTAAACAGCATGTTATGCTTTGAGCAATGTTCTAATATGTTCTAAAAAATATATAAGCTTGGACCTTTAAAAGAAAAAAAAGGCAATTTTCTGTCAGGGGTCCATGAC